CTGTACACCTTGAACTTGTTGAATAACAATACTTTCAAATGTAAATATTGGTTCTTCTATTTTATTATTCATTGGAAATATCCATAGATCAAGACTATATGTTCCTTCTTGACCTATACCACATATATTATCATGATAGATTCCACGTGCTTCAATATTTGTTGATTGATTCATTTTTGTTTTTGTTTTACTTGAATAAATAAATTTTTGAATACGTACTGGAAGAAATGTTGTTTCAATACCTGGTAATAAAACTAGAAATGGATGAAAAGAAGAATCCATTACAGATGGATGAAGTAAATAAAAAGATGAACAATCCGTATCGTCATTATTTGATAATTCAGATATAACTGTGGTTGAAGTACCACGTAATGTTTTTATTTTTTGAAAACTAGATCCATATTGATAACCTCGTGTTGAAAGATGTGCATAAGCACTTGCTATATCTTGTGTTGACCATGTATCATTAATTGTATTAAGAGGAGGTATTGTTAATGATTTCTGTTCTTTAAAATCTATTTCAATTTTACCTCGAGCATGTAAAGTAAATTCATTTAATGAATATTTATTAAGATTATCTTGATCACGAAAAGATTCAACAACATCAGTACAAGTCATACCTGATGGTCGCATACAATCTGGACCAGCTGTTGACCATGGTCGACTATAAATATACCATTCACGCATTGGCATAATTACTTGTGTAAATACTTCTGTTAATTCATGTTCATTAAGAATAAGTGCTTTAGTAAAATTAATATCTTCAAAAATAATTGTTGGTTGTTGTTGATCATCTTCTTTTGTTGAAATTAATTGTTGACAAGCAGCTGTTGCAAGTTCAAGATAAACAACTGCTGGAAAAAGAATTGCATCTTGAATTTTATGATCTTTTAAAAAAGCATGTTGTGATAAATTAATATTAATAAGACTTTTCCATGTTGCACTTGTTTGATCATTTAATTGACGAATACCCAGTAATGGATGAGTAGGTATACGATTAGCTAAACGTTGTATAGATAAATCTTTTGATTCATACCAACATGGACTCAAATGAAATTTATATAATGGAAAGTTATCA